TAGGTCCCCTTATCTTAATCTCCAATGAAAATATCGTCCTTTTCTTCGTTGGTAGGTAACTCCAGTGAGTAAGGGATGAAAATGGTGTCTCAAGAGTTTACTACTATCCAGTAGTAAGGTTCTCAAATACAGCTGTCCTTGAGACTACCTCAAATTAATGTGATGTCCGGAATTACACGTAACTGTTCCAATGTAAATTAATCGAACAAGAAAAATGAAATGAAACTATCTATGGCTACGATAGCCAGAAAAGAAGAAGACCTAAAATACAAAATACTACTTTATATATACAATCTTATATTAAGGAAGGACAAATAATTGATAATTGAGAAATTACTGTACCTGAGGTGAAATGTGGCCTTTTTGGAAGTAAGTTTTTGCTTAATTGAAAATAAAATCCTCTTGTGAGATTAAGTATACCAACAAATAGTAATACTAAATAAATTTTCAGTCTTTTCGTTTCTAGTACCTTATATCCTTATAAAAAGATCTTCAAAAACACATGTTCCATGAAGGGATACTAGAAGAATGAAAAATGGAAGCAGGATATGCACTGACAAAATTAATGACTTCTACAGGAAATGATAATAAAATATGACAGGTAATTTAAAATATTATAAGGCAATTTCTCACAATCACCTACCTAATTCTAAAATTATCCAGATTATTTGGGGTTTTAATTATTTGTAATGAATTAGACAATTACCTGAATAAATTTGAATGACATAATGTCATAATTAATGTAAATAAACAAAGAAAATGAACCCTGAAACCATTTATAGAATTCAAAACGTTTCTTTGTCCCTTTTAGGCTCCTAGAACTTACCTACAAACTAATTAAGAAAAACAATGGAAAATATATCTACAGAGGACCAGAGCGAATCTTCAAAACAAGAAAGAAATACTTGATAAAAGGTTACACTTCTACAATTTCCAATTTGACAATGGACTTATAAAAGGTATCTTTTCATTCTAGTTAACTCACAGAACATAAGAAATGGATCTCCTATTAAACTTCTACCCAAAACGGAGTATACGGAGTGATCTTTTAATAGATTTTATTCCTATTATACTTAAATAATAAATTAAAGTAAATTAAAAGTTAAATGTCAATACTATATATATTATTTTTGTGGCAAAAGCATCCCAGTACATTCATATGGATTTTGAACCGTAACAAGTTATTTTTCGAGTATTTTTAAAAACTCTGCTTCTTTAGATTTCTTTACAACCCGTAGGCATTATTTATGAACTGATTTCTATATTAAAATTAATGCTACGAAGTATACTTTTCCCGAAAGCTTCGTCAAAAGTAACCTCTGCATATACGGGGAATTAACATGGGCGATCGCTGACCAGGTGCGAAGCAAAATCAAACTGATCCTGACTGTTTTCTTTGATGTCCGTGGAATTGTGCATCACGAATACGCACCGGAAGGACAAACAGTGACAACGGCGACTCCGTGACGTAGTTCGGCGCAAAAGACCAGACATGTGGACGGCGAACAACTGATACCAGCATCATGACAACACCCCTACACATTCATCCCAATTGATCAACACTTTTTTAGCGAAACATGGAATTACAACCGTTCGCCAACCTCCCTACTATCCAGACCTGGCTCCTTGCGACTTCTGGTTGTTTCCAAAATTGAAGACGCCACTGAAAGGATCCCGTTTTAAGAATAGATAATAGATAATACGGAACGCGACGACGGAGCTGAACACTATTCCAAAAAAATAATTCCATAGGTGTTTCCAGCAGTGGAAGGATCGGTGGGCTAAGTGTGTGCAAGCACAAGGGGTCTACTTTGAAGGGGATTAGAATCCCAACTCCGTCAGGTATTCGAAATATTTTTTCTGGTCAAAGGTTGGATACTTCTTAGACAGACCTCGTATGCGATCAACTAAAAAAACCTCGTGAACATTATTTTTTATTGTTATTGAAGCACAAAGTGCGTTAACACAATAATAGGCAAACATAAATCCTATAAGTTCTATTACTTTTAAAAATTGACCTAAAAATCTAAAAATAATCCAGCCAGGACCGTTTTTCTGACTAAACTTAAAAAATATTAATTACCGCTCTCTTGGAATATATAGAAAAATATTTTTTTATCATTTGCGAATAACGACGATTTGAATAAAATCATATTTTTCAGCTCACAGATGCCCTAGTTCAAAATATTAGACTTTTACTTAATTTAGTACACAACAATTGAGTATTTTATGGTTTTAAATGATAATATACAAAGTACTATTTGTGTTCGTCTTTAAGTATACTACTTTCTATTAAAGTCAGACTTTTCTAGTCTGCAATTGACTGCATTATTATTTTAAACCGTATTCATCGTGAACTTTTGACCTTTTTTTATTATTTTCGCTCCTCGGGCTGTCTTGTGAATACCCACAAATGTAGGAGAAGCAAAACTAGAACACAGTAATTATCAGCTGACTATAATCTATCAAGAAACCGTAAAAATAAAATTCATTTATTACGTTCCCGTTTTCAAAATATTTGAACTTTTGTAAAAAGTAAAATTTATATGTTTTTACGATCGCACAAAAAACAATTTTTAAGTACATGATTTGACGCAATTATGACAAAATAATAAATAATATGACACAAGATGTGTGAAAGTATCAGGCGAGTGCGAAATAGGTTTTCTGCACGGCTAGCATGCGGGTCGTTTCATACTAAATTAACCAGAGGTTTTAGGTCAGTCATTAAAGAAAATCCATTCACATTAATAACAAACCTAGTAATAATGTTGGTTTGGTCCTTATTTTCCTTTCAAAATCAGCAAAAATAATTAAATCATAATACCCAACAAAATAACCCACTTTCATGAAAACTAAATAATTTTAACATGCAATATAAACACATAGTAAGTTTTTGAGAATAAATTAATATTATTTTCGATATTTACCAATGAAATAAATGAAGTTAAGCTCATGTAACTAACAATACAAGAAAGTAATATTGGTTGCCTAGATGTCAGTAATGTTTTACCAAAACACAATTCTATAAATAATCAAGTCAAAATTAGAAAAAATATTGCATGTAACAAGTTACGAAATATCGTTTTATGTAACTCGTTTTTGTTGCAGGACCCCGCTCTGATCGTCCAGCAAATATTCAAAAATGAGACATTTCGTAACTGGTTTCATAATTAGCTATTATTGGAGATATACTGGATGTATGGTATACCGAGGCCTTGTTGTTATACGCCTGCCTCTTTCTTCATAAACTGTCTCATATTTATAGCAGTATCTTCTTTTCATTCAACAAAAATATGACCCTATCATCTAAAGACTAATTCCAAATACGCGCCATGTTTCAATATATTTAACTTTTATATTCTTTAAAAAGAAATCAAAAGTGAAATCTCAACTTGCGCTGGTTTCGCTTGTTATCTATTTAAGAATAGTGAATTGTTTAATTCTAATCCATTAAAACTATAAAAGTCGGAACACGGTGAAGTTGGAAAATACACACATAAATGATGGTTTGGAAAAGCGAAAAATTATAGAGGTTAATACTTTTGTTGTTTTATAATTTATTTGTGTTTCTTTAGTTACAAATGAATTCTCTTATTTAATGACTGTTAGGTAATAGCAAAATGAAATTATTAATAATAAATTATATATGAATCTTTAATTTGACTTGAGTCTGTTTAGATTTCGACAGATACAATGAGTAAATTTTGCCATAAAAATATTCTGAATGTATTACAAAATAAAACAATGAAAACATATTTTTAAATTTTTAAACGATATTTGATCTACAAATGCGCTTTAGGGGAAAAGTACATAGGTACTTATCAAGCAATACTACTCGTAATGCCTGTCAATTATGAACTTTATTCTACAGTATGGTTCAAATGAAAGGAATAAATTCATTATAATGGAAGTAGTTGGTTTTTCGAAAAAATGCTCGGACAGGTCAATTTTGTTTACTTAAAGCGCAATTTTTTAAATAAAATTCAATTTTCCCCCACTTCCCATTTTTGGGCAGTGACGTCATTGACAATTTTTTTAAATAGCAACCCCAATTTTTTTTTCTTGATTTTGATAGATCTTGCAATTTCCTACTCGGAAACATAATATTTGAAATATCTGACATAACAATTTTTTTTGAAAAAAAGTCATTTCAAGATCAGATACATAAATTTTATGTTATTTTGAGAAACAATAAATTAATAACAGATAATTATTTGTAATTAAATGCTTAATCTAACAAAATAATAATAAAAAAAATAATAATAAAAAGAATTTGTGAAATTGTCATTAAATTCGTTTTATTATTATTATTATTATTATTTTTTTAAATTAAGCACTTAATTACAAATAATTATCTTTTATTAATTTATTGTGTTTCAAAATAACATAAAATTTATGTATCTGATCTTGAAATGACTTTTTTTTTTTAAAAATTGTTATGTCAGATATTTCAAATATTACGTTTCCAAGTAGGAAATTGCAAGATCTATCAAAATTAAGAAAAAAAAATTGGGGTTGCTATTTAAAAAAATTGTCAATGACGTCACTGCCCAAAAATGGTAAGTGGGGGAAAATTGAATTTTATTTAAAAAATTGCGCCTTAAGTAAACAAAATTGACCTGTTCGAGCATTTTTTCGAAAAACCAACTACTTCCATTATAATGAATTTATTCCTTTCATTTGAACCATACTGTATGTGTCCGTGTGCAGTCTTGAGCAATGAAGACAACAGTTAAGTACTGACCCATTTTTAAACTAAAAACATTTTACTTATTTAAGAGTATTAGCCTTTAACCATCTTAAATGGCTACAAAAATTTTTTTGTACTGGATCCACAAGTGTTATTGTCTTTTCGTCTTTTGCACAACATTATAACAGTTTTAAACATAAAAATTGATAAAAAAAATTGACATTCTAAAGATTTCAAAAATTAATTGTGGAAAAACTCAAATTGTATTATACATAATCTCGATACGTTGTATTTATTTTTTACTCACCCTAAAATGACTAGTTCACCATACTTGACTTGTTTTGGTTTTTCTGAATTGGCACTCTCCTGTTCTTCTAAAATTGGAGATTCGGTGCCGTCCGATCTGAAAAGATTAGTAAAAAAAATAACTCAAGTATAAAAACAAACTAATAAATAAATACATATAAGAAAAAAAAAATTTTTTCCGTTATTTAATTGGATAATGGAAAGTTAGGAATAGCCACCACTTAATATTACTATTAAAAGCTCAATTTTTTAGAAACTTCCTTTTTTCACCTTCCTGAAAGTTTAGCGAACGCAAGGAATTAGTACATTCAAAAAATTAAATATGCTCTATTAAGGTTTAAATGGACCCGTTCTTTTTTTCGTTTCACCAACGCGAGATGGCTCTACAAGCTAAACGTTCATATTTTATGAATATAGAAAACTATTAACCTCTCTACTGAATTTCAAACTGTAAAAAAAACTTTCGCTAATACTCACTATACATTGAGTTGGAAGTGAGATAGAAGTACCTCTCTATAAAAATACACGCGCGTAGGAAGCAAAATGTTGAAAATTTATTTAGGTTATTTTGTTTATTATAGTTTGAATATTCGGTAAAAAATTTAAAATTATAGCATTTTAAATTTTAAGGTATATTATTTAATTCAAGAAAATTAGAATTTTCGTCAATTTCGGATTTTAAAACATTCATAACAATTAAAGGGTTAAAAATACGATGATGGGCGTAAAGACTTTTTTTATTCGAAATATCCTAAAGAATATAAAAAAAATTAATTCATTGCAAAACATGCATTTTTCTGGCTTAAATAATTTTTCGTTGTTTAAACAATAACATCAACAGATATCGAGTGTTATCTTACACTTTTATAATCAGGAAAGCCTTCCGGACATTTAAAAAAAAATTACGAATTAAAACAATTTTGCAAACGAATGCGCCACTAGGCCCTGCACTATCTCATAAAAAAAACGATTTTTTCCACTTGTTTGTTGGATAAAACATTGTATGCAACTCGTGTGTTATGTTTCCTAAGTCACTTGAGACGGCCTCGTGACTTATTTTCAACATAACACAGTACCATAAATAACTATTAGTTGTCATGCATGCAAGTATATTTAAAATTTTAATGCTATTGTTTGGAATGTTATCCTATTTTTTTTTTTTTTTTTCGGTTAAATAGGTTACCTCACAAATCAATCAATTATATCTGTAACAGTAACTAATACAAAACAACGGAATTTTAATCACATTGTTAACGTTTCAAATTTATGGGAATGAGAATTTTGGTAGTTACAGTTAACTAAACTAATAATTGACGTCACAAATAAGCAGCTATTAATTATAATTGCCTATTTTACTTTATAATTAGTTTAAATAAATAAAAGATATGATTTTTATACATTTAAAAAAAAATAAGTTTCCAAAAAACATCAGCGAAAATTTTGATATAATATACAAAATGAAATAAGCAGAACTAACGTTTGTCTTTAATATTTTCACAGTTCATTAAAAAAACACAATTCCTTCCAATAATTTTCGTTGGATTATAGCAAAGGCGTGCGGTCAATGGAAGCGGGGGAAGCACCGCTTCCCTACACTTTGAGATTTAATAATAAATATTTTTCAGTTTACAATGCATAGAAATTAATATTAAATTAGGTATTATATTTTTTCTGAAACATTACGTAAACTTCGTAAATGTACTAACAATTCAATGGTGTAATGTGTAAACGCAGCACCACCCATGAGAAAATTAATTGTGTAAACACTGTAAACGCAGACACCATATACTTCGAATCTGTCGGCGGAAGCGCGTCTTGAAAAAGTCGGCTCATCTTCCAATTGATTTCGCTTCGTGTTATTGACCCTATTTTGCCGCGACAGTAGTCAGTCTGTTTGGGCGAGAGGTCGAGAGGCAGCGATTTTTACGTCGCCTTGCGCATATTGCAATTCGCACCGTGAATCGACGTGTCAGGAAAATCGTGGACTTCAGATAGATTTCGGTTTGTTTTTCGTAGTTGTTTTTCTTTTTGTAAAATGGAGGAACTATGCATTGTGTCTGTGAACAATAATAATATGATAACTTGTGTCTGTATTGTGTGCTCTTTATTGAGAAAAGGATTTTCAAGTAGAAATGTTGAAGAGAAAACGGACATTATTAATTCTAGTAGACTAAAGGATCCTATCAATTTAGAGACGAAAGTAGAAGAGTCAGCAAAGAAATTTACCAGGCATTTTCACGTAGGGTTCTATGAAAAGTATGAATCGTTAACCGGCTTTAAAACTTTGAAGAAATTGTTTTGCTGGCCTTGCCTACTTTTTAATATAGCCGAAAAAACACATTGTAACTCAGTCGGTATTACAGACTTGAATAATTTCACAAAAGTGTAAAACGACATGTAAATAGCAAATCTCATATAAGCGCTACAATTAAAGAAATGGAGATACAAATTCTATTAAAAACTTAAAGTAATATGAAGTTTCATTTATAATCAGTTCTTTGGGTATTTCTTGTAATGTTAGATTAGTAAAATATTGCTGAAGTCCAGTTCGGTAAACGCGAATAAAAAGTAAGTCTCCTGAAGTGTTTACGATATTAAGATTTCTTGTATTACAAGTACAGCACATTTTGTTAATAAATAGATGGTTCAAAAATTTTGGCAATTTCGGTATGAAGTGTCTGGAGATTATTTGTTGATACTGTAGCATATAAAACTTTAATGAAATCCTTAATATTATTTGAGCAATTTGTACATATTTTGGTTCGTGTGTGTTAAACTAACTCTAGCAAAATTGGTTCAATTATGTTAACAATATTCCATGCCATATTTATTTCTTCAAATTGGTGTGGAATAGTTTTATAGAGATATTGAATCCAAATTTGATTTTTTCTCGTTAATGTCATTGTTGTTAATGATATCAGTCAATACTTTAAAATACTGTAAATTTAATCCCTCAAAGTAGATGTGCATGGCTCTGTCAATTTTGTTTAGGGAAATAATGCCATGAGCAAATGAGTTGTAAGTACAAAAGAAGTTCTTAGTAATTATATTATTATTGGATAAATTGCTCGAATAAGTTTTTAAACCCTAATCAAAAGGCGATATAGAATGGTTTTAAAAATCAAGGCTTGTGAAAATCATCGCATGGTTTAGCCTAAGTAATATCAATGCTTCACAAACCAACGTGCTAATACTACTATCGGCTTTCAGTATTTCGTTCCAAGCTAAATCATTTCTTGTTTTTGTTACGCTACGAGTTTACCCTTGTGGGCCTCAGTCTCGATAAGGTGGGAACCACCATTTTAGTGTCTCTCGAATTTAAACTTATTAAATATGAAAATTACGAATTGAAAAAATTCAAGCACCTACTGGATAGATGAATGAACAATAATATGCGGTCAAAAAATTTTTTTCGCGATTTTTCTATTAATTATGCATTGATTAATTATCAATTTTTTCCTACTTGAACATTAACATTGCTAGTGCGATAATTGTTAAATAACAAATCTGAGATTTTTTCTTTTTTGGAGCAAATTTTGAACGGTCTCATAAGAGATTCCCGTTGGAAAAATTAAAAAATTGGTTTTTTTTTGTGTCATCGACTTCAACTGCTAAAATTATTTCGCCTCGTGTTCTGTGTAGGCTTTGTTACTGTTTCCCAGCGCCATTTTAGGAACAGCACTGTTAATTAGAACCCAACAGTGAATGGTCGAGTGGGGAATCCTACCAAGGCATCAGAATTAATTTTAAATAATTAAATTAAATGAAAAACAGAGACTCTACCACTGAGCCACCCACCCCGTCACTTTGTTATTAACAATTTACTTAGGTTAAAAATTAAAAAGCTTGATTAATCATTGAAATTTTTTTTATATTACTATTGATCCGTTTTTTTATCATCAGAAGCCACATGAAAATGATTTTTAAAAATTTTTATTTTCTATTGTTTAAAAATTTGTTATAAACAAATGCGTTGTTTATAAGATAATATAATTTTTTTTTGAAACGTTATCTTTGATGTAAATTATGATTTTAAAAAAATCCTTTTTTTCTTTCTTAAAAACGGATTTGTTAATTAACAATTTTTTTTTTACCACTTGTAATCATTATTAAGGAATAATTTTTATTAATTATAATTTACCTTGCTCTTTGATAATTAAAAAAAATTGATTTTATTTAAATTTTCATTGTTTATT